TAATTTAAATATAGTAGCGGAGAGCGGTCGGCGGGCAGCTGCATTAACATTTCAAAAGCCCTCGTACACGCGCCCCGGAGTAATTTATTTAATGCATTGTATGAAGTGAATTGAATGCGTTACCGTTCATGATATTCGTACAATAAAATACGAATAAACGTAATATGACGGTGCCTCTGCCTACAAATGAATGCAATATTTAACCGACTTCAAAAAAGAGAAAAGGTTCTCAATTCGATATTTTCATTTTTTGTATGTGTGTTCGCGGATAACTGAACGTTGTTTATGAACCGATTTTGATGATTCTTTTTTTATTGGAAAGGAGATATCCCAAGAGTGGTACCATGATGAAGGAAATCCGGATCTGATGGTGGAATCCCAGAGAAATCGAGGGCAATCCTCAAATGTTATAGCTATTAACAATGGTTTAGTCTCCGGTTTGAAGTCGTTTTTTTTTTGTTAAAAATTATGTTACTATGTTACAGAGCATCTTAGCTGATTCATTTGTTACTTAAAGAGGGTTCGGCCGAGGAAGTACTTTGCCTTACAGTAGACGTCGCGCAGTGTTTTTGTAAACTATACGGTTTCTTACAGTGTTTTTATTTTATTAATAGTACTTACTGAAATTCATTCTCATTCTATTATCATTTTGGTTGAAATTTCAACTCGAAAATATTTAGTTAGGATGATATAGATTAAGGGAAAGGCCCTGCCCTTTAACCATATTAACCGTTAAAAAATCGAACGCCTCAGTCTGTCTCATAATTTGTTCTTAACTTTACGAAGAAAATTTAACGGGATAAAATATCTGGTGTCAATTTAAGAATGCGTACGTCGACTTATGTTATCTGTACGACGCGGTGCAGGTGAACAGAAAAGTCCATTTTCTAAGATTACACAGCCAGTAAGGCCGGAGGTATTGCTGTGTTGCAGAACACTTATTTATCTAAGTAAAGTGTACATGACAGTGCGCCCTAGTACATATTCATTTCAAGATTAAATTCTGCATAGCATAGTACGACGTCTTATACTAAAAGCGATATATTAATGTCTGCTCTACCTCCTAAAATCCTCATCGTAGAATCCTTCTCTGCTTTCAGTGAAAGTACATCCATTGATATTTCCTATTTAGATATACTTGAATATTCTGAAAAAAAATAAACTGTTTTTGACTAACTTCTTTACGGTTAAAATATCGGACCTTAATCCTGTTCCTACCCAAAATTTAGGACCCATACGAATCAGGGACCTGAGAGACAGAGTACCTGTTATTACCTAGAAAGCTTCTAATGCATTTGTAACTCCTCCAGCGTCGTAAATGTTCATAAGTGGCAGTTACTATTCCTACATTATCCCGAGTCAATCATTCTTAAAGTAAAGTAACAGTAAATGGGTATTAGGGCATATTCAACGCGTCTGCGGATTTGAAGACTTCAAGTAACCTTGAAATATAAATTTTGAATTTTTTTAATCATTTAAAAAAAATCCAAAATTTAATACCAAACACGTGATAAGTGATCGCTTAAATTTGCAATTTCTATGAACTATTTTAACTTTTCGGCAACTGAGTAATTTAAAATTAATTGAAAAGTTCAAAGACGAGGCTGCCAAGTAACATTATATCATAACTTGACCTTGGGAGCACTAAACCAAACGCATGTGCTAATAGTTTTATCCTATTACCGTAGTCCGCATATGCGTCTCTGTGAGTTTTAAGACTTTCATAGTTCGTCTAATAGTCCAAATATGATTTCACTTACTTTTCTTTCTTAAAATAATGAACATGGTTTTTTCCGGAGAGGTATAGTTTAACGTATATATTAAGAGGAAATATTAAGATTTCTTCATGCGTGTGACATATATTTATGAGACAGACCATGGGAAGTGTTCGAGACGTACAGAATCAAAACTAAAAATAGGCGTAAGATAGTCTATGTACACTATTTTGTAGTAAACGGTAACGAAATCTTCTAGAGTGTTGGTCCTTCCAAACAACACAACAGCCCTGTCGCATTCCATCAATGTTACAACAGGTTCATCAAATACTGAAGCATGTTGGTTTCCTACACTCAGCTACTACTACTACTACTATTAATTTATATGTCCCCTACCTGGGACAGAGGGCGTTCACAGAAGATCTCCCTCGTGTACAATCTGCACTTTCGCTTCCCCTCGCTCCACGTCAGTCCGATGCTCGACCCTTCTGCCAACACGTTAGGTTTGCCGAGGACGGCCACTCCTCCTTTTTCCTTGAGGATTACAGTCCAATTCCTGTTTAGGAATGTGTTTAGAATCTCTCCGGAGTGTATGACCAATCCATTTCCATTTGCGATGCTTGATCTGGCGGTCAATTGGGCTCTCATGGCTTCCTTCCAACAACACTCAGCTACAGTAGCACTTAATTCCTACCTTTGCAGTCATATATTAAGCTAAGATAAACACAATACTAGCCTGGGTACGAACCCACAATCCAAACACCGAAGCTTAGTATCAAGCCACGCTTATCGCACATCGAATCTTTGTACGTTTTACTATTAAAGCCAACAAAGCCGAATTACTTTAGAAAATACCCGTTCCTCTCCAAACAACCCATAAATGCGACCGAACAAATCTAGTAAGAAAATATTGGAGGAAATCAAACGAAACGTGACCTCCCACATACGAGTAAAGCGGGTTCAATCTTTTTTTCTTTACAAACATAGCTTTTCGATTTCTTATTTTTATTTGTCGTATACATAATTACATGTGTTGCTTTTTACAGCATTTATTAATCGTTTAACTTCAATAAAATAGTAAATTCTTTTACAATCTGCACACATATTTCAATTTCAAAATTTCAAGTTGGCACACACACAGGAATTTTGAAAAAGTAAAGGTCCTTCTACTAAAGGTTAAACTTTTACAATGTGTATTTTATAGATTTGTTATCCTATCTCGCAACGAAAGGGTAATGGATTGAAATGTGCTTAATAAGGATACACTGGGACCAAAGACTTTTGGAGTTGTTGTTAAGAAGGAAAAAATAACAATCCCTGTAGAATAAGGTGTTTCGACATCATTATCATCGCTTAAGCCTATTTTACTGCTGAACATTAGCCTCCAACTGTGTTCGACTGCAATCGACTCCCACATAGCATTTTCCTGAGCCACCGGCATCCATAGAATTCCCGCACACTTGCACAGGCCACTCCATCTGAAGAAAATCGGTAGATTCGCTGACTTAATACTACGAATCCTAATAAAATAGGTGATATTATGTTGTTTTGTCTTTACAATAAATAATAATCTTGATTTTTCAATAAAACTGAATAATAAATATTTGAGATTTTGCTTCTATCGTACACAGATTAATTAACTCAATTTGCATATACCTTATGATGGTATTTGATTTATGTGTAAGTAATTTAATTTTTAAAATCAAGCAACAGGACCGGTAATTCTGATATGCTGAAAATACATTTTTACTATTATTATTATTACAATGGTTTAAAGTTTTACTAAATATTAACCTACAATATAAAACCCATATATTTATGTAACTACGAGCGTAAAGTGATTTTCTTCGAGAACCTATTTAATGGCCTATCAACTTTGAAATGAATTAAAATGTAGCACCACACACGGCTTACAAGCTCCTGTAATTTGATCTCCATAAATCTATCCCCACGGGCATAGCGTCGGGATACATTCCTGCTGAGATTGCAAATGCGTCGTACGTGATTCGATTCGGTGCGGTATTTGCACAGGGGACATGCACGTCGGCGTCTGATGCATACGTTCCACCAATATGATTGATTGCAACCATTTGACTATATAATTTACACACATTCGATGACGGATTTTATTTGAGATAAGAACTTTACGTTGGTAATTATCATATTATAAAATCACACAAACCACGTCTTAGACGACTTTAGTGTCCTAGCTTATATTACCGTACCCTGATTTCCATGCGTATATGGATTTCGTTCACTCAGCTCTGATTTGATCTCCCTACGTGTCGAACGATCCAGTAAGTCTCCTATCGTATGACGAACACAAATAGCTAGTTACGGCTAGAGATCTTAATGATCGAGATAAATCGTATCAGCTCAGTTTCAATGCGGGTACTTTGAAATTTATTAGTGAGAGGTATTTTGAATTCGAATCTTCCGTAATTTTAAATCCATAAAGACTATTCTCGGGAGAGCACCATAAGAACGAGCTCCTGCACAGATAGTGAATGCGAGCAACGTGATTCCATTTACTGAAGAATTTACAGCGGCGACGTGCGGCAGCTATTAGAGGTGTCACTGTCGTGATCGATATCGCTGATTGAAGAAATTTTCCTATCTTTGTCTATCTCTTTGTTAATATTTCAAAAATCATTTTTTATCTTTTCCTATCCCTCTACCCTACCGCTTGCCAATGAAAATTTGGAACCAACAATTATGTTTCCTTGTTTGATATTTCCAAACACAGCGCCAGGATTCGTATATTGATTGAGAGCACATTTTATAATATTTGATTGAGAGCATTTTTATATTTCGTAAGGGCATTTAACGCAATAAAAGTGATGAATAGAGATATTTTATTTTTGCTTTTTTGTCAATCTTAACATTTATTCTACTAAAAAGGTTTTGTCTGTTTTTTTTGGCTTTGCAATTTTCTTGCTTCATTTATATGCAGTAATATACTAGCTGTATTCGTACCTTGCGAGTCGTAATTATTTTTTTCTCTTAGTAAAGTTATATACCGAGAATATCTCTTTACAGTACTCGAATCAGGGGTGAATATAAAATAAATCGAGGGATTTAGAAACAAATTGCTTTTATTTATATTTATTAATTATGAATATGTTTTCTCATGAGTCCAATTAATAACTCCGGGTCGTCGTTTTGCCAATAAAGGAGTAGTCTCTGACGGAACGTTATTATCACTATTATTATTTCTTTGCATTAAGCATAACATTAATCCAAACTATATATGACGTACAGTCTTTTCCTGGAACTTGGACTTCATGCTGGTTGTTTCTCCTCTGTCACTGTAGTGATGCAAGAAGCCACGCAGTTGTCCTCATATTGCGATGTCTCACAGGACAGGGATGGGAAAGTTTTGTACAGAGCCGCACGATATCTTGGATGGCTGATAAGGAACACAGCAGCGAGTTTTAAACTTAAATGTGCACAACCTGTCCTTTCGTGCAACGTGCAACTTTCTCGTGCTGTTGTACGATTGGACAGGGTCGACCAGGTACCAGGACCATGTACCTTGGTATTACAGAACTACGGTGTGAAGTGCAAATATAGTAGAAGTATGATGGTTTCGCGTTTCTCCTGGTGAGTGAGGTAGGAGAGAGCCAATAATGGTTGTATCACACCTGCAAGTCTCAAAAAGAGTCAAAAGTGATTTGTCCCACTACCAAACCACTATGGACTCCTTTATACAAAGCGTATTTTTATTATACGTCATGGTCTTCCCTACTTCGGATTGACAAACTTCACATATCTAACTTTTTTTTGTTATTTTTTATTCATACAGTAACCATTTTAAATTACTTTGCATGTCTAATTAAAACTTACCTAATACCGTATACAATCGGGTTGTAGACCGCATTAGCTTTTGCAAACAAGGAGCCCCAGATGGTGGCGAGAGGACTTATGGGGGCCTTCTCAAATATACCAGTGTAGTTAATGATCAAATATGGAGTCCATGCCATAAACCACAGCGAAATAGTCATAAGAGCAACCTGTTTTAATCAAAATATTTGTATAAGTTACTTAAATAGAAAACATTGATTTGTTAATCAAAATTAAAGCAATAAACTATTGCTTCGGTCAAAGAAACCTTTTAGTATCCCTTCACATAAATACATTTTATTCATGTTATTAAAATACCTTAGCTAGTTTACATTCAGCACTGGTCTGCGCTGCTTCTGATGACCGAAGTGAGACAACGTTCATCTTCTTAGCTTGTTCCCGCATAGCCTTCTCGTGATCCGCGACGGCCTGAATTGTTCAATGTAATTTTTGAAAACCTTTAGCACTTTTGAAATGTTAGTTTTTGGACGTATTATCCAATACCGACAATTACCTTAACGATGAAGTAATAAGAGTAGATTATTAACAGGAGCGGTGCGAAGTACACGAAAAACGAGTAAACCACGATGTAGCTGCGACTGTACAGGTCATTGGATAAGTAGTCGGTTCCACACGCGGTCATGTTACCTTCGGGCACATACCTGATGATTATATAGAAATTTATTTATACGAAATATTAATAGTGGATGGAGTAGGATTTCTCGTTGATATCACGATTGAATTTGCGATGTATTGATCACGATCATAACGAACATAGTTGACTAAAGTTTTAGTTTTAACGGATTATATTATAATAATGTAAGTAGTTGAGAATCAACAAGTTGTGACTGTAGATTACACTAGCTGCTGCCCGCGACTACGTCTGCGTAGAATATCTGAAAGCGTAACATACAATCAGAAAAAAAAGATATACATAAAAATATATGTATAAATTATAGCCTATGTCTTATTCTGATGTGTTAGCTATATTATTGTAAAGTTTCATTAAAATCCATTCAGTAGTATTTGCGTGAAAGAGTAACAAACATCCATTCGTACATAGAAACTTTCGCGTTTGTAATATTGGTAAGGATTTATATTTTTTTTGAGAAAGTGGCAAGCGATCTGGCGGTTCACATGTTAAATGATATCCGCCACCCATGACCATTTGCAGCCGTAGGGTTGCATACGTGGTGCCAACGGGTTCCAGCTACCCACCGGATGAAACGCAGAAGTTTACTTCTTTCACTTGACACCGGTCATTTATGATGTCGCGGTACTTCCCCGGATAGCCGAGCTCTTTTCTTGCAACAGCGAAGACTGTTGCGTGGAACTAACGCAGTTGTTCCTGGCCCAATCACAGTTACCGAAGCTTATAATTTAAAATTACGGGCTGAAAATATTCAACAGTAATATAAATAATGAATCAATCAATCAACGAATTATATTTTTCACCTGTTCCACCCGAAAAATGGTGCGAGCGTCCACACTAAGGCGCTTAACCAAATAGCAAGGATTCGCGAAAGCACTCCCTTTTTAGTCATGGGTTTAGCAGCTATTCCTTTCACGATGACATTGTAACGATCAAAGGCTATCATTGTCATAGTCCAAATGGACACACAGCCGAAAAGTGATCCAGCGAAACCATATATTTCACACCCTAAAGGACCTTTAAATAGAAACAATAGCATTTGTAAGTTGATCAGAAAACATTCACTATATATATTTGTATAGTAACCAACCGAAGACCCAAGTTTCGTTATAACAGTTTATGACCATTGCGGGTGCCATGGCGCACATCATCAAGAAATCCGAGAAAGCTAGGTTCACAACCAGCAAATTGGAAGGAGTCTTGAGGCTCTGTAAACAAGGTATGATCATGCTAACAATTCTACAATAATAATTAAAGTTAATTTTAAATTTCCTCATAAAAACATATTAATAAGATGAAATAACTGTGCTTATGTATTCAATACCCACCTTAGTCGCAGTAAAAATGTATATAACCATTCCATTGCCTACAACAGAAATGAAGCCTAGGAGCCCTATTGTGAAACCTAAGAGACCGTGCCATAGTGGATTCATAGGCGGAAATTGGTACCTGAAATAAGAACAATAGATGAAATCGCAATTTCAAACCACCGCTATTGACTCGTGCATGAGATATCATGCTTTACCAATGTGGGTCGATCATATTCAGCATATCGGGGGCGACCTTATCCACGACTGTCTGATTTGAACCGTAACTCAACATGGCTTATGTCGATTGTAACTAAAACACACAAAACATTACTACACCGCACGATTTTAGCTACAAAAATAACAATTAAGCAATACAATTTTAACAAAAAATAAATTCCATATCATACCTTGTTTCAAAAAAGATGAAAGTAGATTGCTACAACAATAAAGGCAGAGAAAATCAATGAATGAACTACTCTAGCCTTTAGTAGCTGTAACCGTACTTAATGTAGGCCGGAGCAAGTCAGAGACTACTCGTTCCCGCACAAAGTAACACCGCTTTTATACCAGCGTTAGTGGAACTAACAATTGGAATAACTAAAAATCAATATTCATAATTAGATAAACTCCAATACAAATTTGGAATAATTCTTTAATGAGCTCAAGCACGTTTAATATAATTTTATGTTACATGATACACAGAACAAAGATTTCTTACTACTAATTAGTAGACACATTGCTTGTTTAGGATATGCTGCTGAGGTTCGAGAGTTTAATTGTAACCCTACGCGGAGCACAAACTCTCTCTGGCTGTATTTCTATGTAAAAAATAATTTTGTATTTGCTTTTCACTTTTAAAAAAGCTCATATGTACGTATTCCTTTGAATGTATTTCATTTCACCGAAAGCTGATGAAACATATCAATATCCATTACATTTACTTTAATGTTATCTCAAGGGATCGTCTGGGAATGAGCGTAGGTATTTTTTGTTTCATTATAAATTTGACATGGAAAATAATTTGAACTAGACGATATTTTTTAAGGATTCCTTAATAAAAAATAAATTACTATATAGCTTGGGAAACGGTTTGACTTTGGCTTATTTATTTTGCCTGAATATGTATGAAGGTAATGGTTTCTATTTTTATTAGTCCGCTTAGATATTACCCATAGTTTTTCATAACTAGTAAAAGAAACACATTCCATGACCAATCTTTTCAGCATAAAAGATGAACAACTTTGGTGAAACACAAGCGCCCAACGACTTTATTCTGCTTACTCCGTCAAAACGAATGAGTATGGTGGCCATGAGAGTGTGAATACGTAGCTGAATTATCACTGTCTAAAACCAGCTGACAACTACCTTTCGTGCCATTAGAAGACAATACATTGTGATTCTCATTGGGCACTAGAATACTGAGATCCGAAGTGAAAATGTCATGGAGGAATAACCTTAGGTGACCGCAACGACAATGGACAGATTGCCTACGCATACTGGCCCTCGCAGGAGCATAGAAGGACAGGTTATGTCCGTCCCGCACTGACTAAAACCCTACGATGTTCCACCCAGACGCATATCGAAAGAGCCAGGTGAACGCTTTCACACACTTCCGCGATCCTGCCAGCGCTGGCCGCCTTAGCAGCCTCTTCTCGGGAAGCATCTTCTCTCTCCTCCAGGTAAGGCCTTCCTCTTGACTTCGCCGTGGGTGACCAATTCACGGCTACTAAGCCCCCCACAACGACAAGGAGAGAACCCAGTCTTTATCATAAACACGTTTGTAGTGGACTGTATTAATTTTGAATGTTCTTCCAATAAAAGAGTTCTTCCTTTTAGACGTTTATTATTCTTCATTACAATTGAGCCGTATCGTACAAATTTTTATTTACACATATATATACATTGACAGTGGTATGACAATTAACTAGTGTTTAAAAGCTAATCTCGGGCGTCGACCAATCACGGCCTCGATCCGCCGTCGCCGTGGCGCCACCCAGGGCGGTTCGACAAGCGGTGATTTCGCTGCGACTGGTTGCTCCGCCGTTGACTGGTAGGACGCCCCCGCGCGACGAACTATTGCTTGACGCGATGTGGCT